ACGATTTTCCTGGTGATCATTGGTGACGTTAGTTGGCACAGTCATTTAGTTGCGCAAATGGATTATCACTAACAGCGAAAAAATGAACAGGGTTTGATTCAAGAAATTAATTCATCCACGAAAGAAAAACACATCCTCCCGACTGTGACTGAAATTTCAGTGAACTTGGTTCGTCCAAATTCTTTAGCAGAGAGAAATGAAGAGCGAGCGGTCCACCCTGATATTATTAGTCTTTATGAAACCGCATGCGGTGCAGAAAAGAAAGCAATCGAAGCCAATAGAGAAGAAACTTTGCGTTGGTGTTTCTATGCTAGAGAATTCAAGCGCATGTATAAAGATTTTATGGTCAGCAACAAAGTTGGAGAAAAGAAAGCGAAAGGGCAGGTATACGATTTTATTATCAAACAACTTCCCAATACTAAACGCAAAACTTTATGTAGGCAAACACAGAAAGCTTTGAGGATTGACGATTTATTCGAAAAAATAGGAATGGACAAGCTTCAATACATAAAAACATATAGTGCGGATACTATTTCGAAATTTACTGTTCCTCAGATTCAAACAATTATAGATCACTTCACCGAAAAACCCAATATGGAATTCACTGATGAAGCCGAGGATGAAGAACAAGATGATGAGGTCCCAGAGGGATCCGATCAGAATAATGCATTGGAGGTCTTCCCTCCAAAGGAATCAACTACACCTATTCCTTTATTTCATGTCTCTAATTCTTCAGGTGATTCCAAAGGAATCGGTTCAGACGATTTGCCCAAATCTCAAGTAAGTATACCATCCACATCTTCCTCTGATCAAATTAGTAAATCTAACAGATCCGGACTTCCGGTTTCTATCTTGCCTGAAAATCCCGAAGAGAAACGAAAACATATCATTGGGTTGGTGCTAGAGAAGTTTCCTTATCTATCTTTAGACGATAGTGATGAACGCCGTGACACATTTAATCTTGATAGTTCAGCACTCTGTCCTTTCTGTAATGGAGACCATAAAGTGAATAGAAGTATATTTGATGAAATAAAAGGTGAATGGGGTGATGGTGAGTATTACGGAGAACAAACTTATCGTCTCATATGCAGGATATCTTATAAACCTGGAATCCCAGTAGTATCTGTAAAAGCATAGACGAAAACTTCGTCATGTGGGTGGCTTAGACCGATCACCTGCTAAGGCAAATGCGCAGAAGATACCGGAGAAATTCTCTTTTTTCTTCGTATAGCTCAGAAAAAATTCTATCACTTGTGTTATTTTTTTTTCTCACCCTGCAGATCGATAGATCAAGGGGGCAGGGCTGTGCGATGTACGACGGTACCGCATATTAATGATTTTTTTTTCAGGTAAACGGAATTTCGCAACCCAATCTTGCAACTATGTAAATAAGCAAATAGAACGGGCATATTCGCTACGTGAGAAAGTTCCAGTGAAAATAATGGAGACGAAACTTACTTAGCGAAATGTCGGACGGGACATTACCTAGGGTAGAATACTTTTGGTTTAGACTGAGCATTTGCAAGACAGCGTCTTCAGAGCTTGTAACTAATACATAGTTTCCTTTAAGGCTCTCGTTAGCGTCACGACCGATGAAACGGAGGTTAGGATGAAAAAACAATGAATATAGCAGGTTATTGGGTGGTGGATAGAATAGACGCAATGAATAGGATAGACTATCATGTATGAAGCGGACCAGCGCCTTTTAACTGTATAATAAGCAAAGTCGCTAATTTGTAATTTATCCAATGTATTGCAAATAAAAAATCTTGCCTTGATTAACTCTTCGCATATGGATAGCAGAGTAGTAATGGACGAATTGATAAGGATTAATTATGCTGATAGTTTGATCGTACTCACACCCTTCAGGGGGACGAAATCTTAATTCGTGATCGGTAAGTTGGATTGACAACGAAGATCGGGGATTTTCTTTGTTTTGCAACTATCTCTACAGACCCTTAGCGTAATAGGTGCATCTATTCACACTAATTTCGGGCTATTATTTCACCTGCAGATCAAAGAGGAGTGGAAAACTGTATAAGTAGGAGACGGGTGTGGAGGATGCATGGGAGCATTTATTTTATCTCTACAATTCACCGCTATGGCTAGTGAACCTTCGAGCGCCACTATAGCCAGTGAACCTTCGACTAGCACTTCGGAAATTCAAACAAATACTCCAGAGCCTTCCCAACTCGAAGTACTTGCATTAAATTATCTTCGAAATCAAGAGATTTCAACTATTTCCACCAGTATTCCAAAACTCAATCCTTGCAGTATTTGCCAAAAAGCAATCTTAACATATCGATTTCAATCGTTCGTTGTGTTAGATTGCGAACACATTTTCCACCGCCAATGTCTTGAGAAGTATATTTTGCAAGCAGAAACAAATCCTTTTACTCTTACATGCCCTTCGTGTGAGATAATCATTACATTGACTAGAGAAGAAGCAGTACTCGCCTCTGGAAAATATCATCTTCAGAAAAAACAAACTGACACTGGAGAGGATGATGAGGAGCTCATGGCTTCGCTAGGATTGGTAGAAGGTGACTCTCGTGCTGGTCAGGGGAGTCAGTCGAAGCAAGTCACTATGCAGGATCAGGCGACAAGCCCAATCATGATTGAGGATGATGCTTCTGAAAATAATGATGAAAGGACACCAGATGCATCAAACCGCTCCGCCAATGTACAAACCAATGATGACACTCGAAACCTATCATCTCAACAGTCATCGAGAGGATCCTCTCCAAGGAATACGCGTTCGCAGGATAGATTTCAAGAATTATTGCGAGAACTATCTACACCTGTCAGGGGAGAACCAGTTGAAGCCAATGATGAAGAGGAAACAGGGGAAGATTCGGTTCCAAAGAGTTTAGCTCGACTATACCAAAAGGCAATGAAGGCTGGATTACGAGCCACGAAAGCAAACCAAGAAGAGATCTCATGCTGGTATAATTATGCTAAAGGCTGTGAAGATAGAGTTAAGGCGATTAGGGAAAGTGATAGTAGGTTGAATGGACAGCAGGCCATGACTCAAGTATACAATGAGGTTAAGGCGCATCTTCCAGATATTACAATGGCGAATTTGCGTAAGAAAACCCAGAAAGCTAGGGTCATTTACAAGTTATTTGTGAATATTGGAGTGGGGAAAATTAAGCGTATTAAAACATATAGCGCGGATGCCCTTTCAAGACTAACTGACACTCAAATCAACAGTATTATAGCTAACTTCTCAGAATAATCTTTGCCGATCGCGTGAACAATGTTCACGCCCACGTGACTACTGCGCCTCATATCGAAAAATTAATTGCCCATATCGGATTATTTTTATTATAGTCCGTACAATAATCATATATACTAGCATAGACGTCATGTATCAAGGGCTACCATCCCGAACTTTTGTACTTATTTTTTGTGTATTAATAAAAATTTCAGCCGGGGGCCCGGTCAAAAACACAAAATATTTTTTTTATTTTGAATGGTTATATACAATGTATTAGTTATTATTGATCATGTCATCCGAGCTTGAAGTATTGAAACAGCGCATCACCGAGCTTGAGGCTGAGCTCGAGACCAAGAATTCTAAGCTTGCTGAATTTGAAGCCAGGGATGTCGAGATTCACGAACTTAGAAAGAAGGTTGTCGAGGTTGAGGCCAGAAATGCGAAGCTTATAAATCAGAATAAGCAGATGATGGAAGAGAATAACAGACGTGATGCTAGAATTGAGGATCTAGAGAAAAATACCACCGATAGAGTTACGAAATTGGAACAGAAGCAGTTGCAAAATGATAGTACTCCTAATAACAGCATATCTAATTTCAATTCAGGTGTAGTCCACCTTGAAAAATCATTGGAGAAGAAAGAGATGGATATTTTCTTGGATGAAGAGGATAAGAAAATCGTCAGCGAAGATATTAGGTGACGCAATAAGGAGAAGAAACTCCAGCGTGAATCAGCTAATCAAAATGTTACCTTTGGTAACGCTTATGTATCAGAAACTGTGGTGGTTGCTCCTCAATTGGTCATTGCAGATACCCTCAGGAAGAAATTCCCACGGTGGATTCGAAAGTGACGCACGATATAAAAGCAGTTAACAGGTATCCTGAAAATTCATATGAGGATGCGCATCAGATAAGTTTAGAAATTTCGGAAGAGTTCGAAAAAACCGTTCCCTCAGAGAACGATCAGAGTTATGTGACTTCAGTTAAGCCAGATCTCGAAGTATCCATGGAGCAAGATGATGAGCAGGAATTGCTAGATAAAAATCAAATCATAGAACAGGGTCTAATACAAGAGCTGTGTGATACCTTGCCTTTAGCGCCTTCGGCTAACACCTGTTCACCCATATCCAGTGATGACAATATCAACTCTACCAATACTAATTCCTCTTGCAATGGATCAGAGAATATGATTTCGGGTTCTGCCCAACACTTGTCCTATCTATTCGATACAGCAATAAAGTCTGGTCAGCAGGAAATCTTAGACTGGTATAATTATTCACTTGAATTCGAGAGCAGGGTAGATGCTCTTATTGCTGATGGTAGAATCAAAGATAAAACGGCAAGATCAAAGATTTACAAGGAAATGAAACCATTTCTCCCTGCTAAAATTACACAAGATAACTTGCGCAAGAAAACTCTTAAGGCTAGAAAACACCTCACGTTATTTGGAAAAAATGGAGTTGGGATAGACAAAATCAAGTTGGTCTCATATAGCGCAATTGGGATTTCGAAACTAACTAATGCACAAATCCAAAATGTCATAGATTAAGTAAAAAAATATATTAGTGATCATCAGTATCATGTGATTTTGAAAACCGTTCCCTCGGGGAACGATTAGATTAAGGATGAGATGAGTACATCGGCAAGTGTATCATCTGCATCCCAATCTAAGTCCGATCATTCCTATTTTCGCAACAAGATATTGGATCAATATCCTAATCTATATAGAGAATGTAGTATTGAAAATTTCGA